GAAATATTGAATACAAGTCCAAAGAGGTTATACTTTCATTTTACAGGTCACTGAGTAGGCCAAATTTGGAATATTGTGTTCAGTCTTGGGCTCCTTACCTTATGGAAGACATTGAATTGACAGAAAGGGTTCAGAGAAGGGTTACTAGAATGGTGCCTGGAAAAGAGAGGTTGAAATCTTTCAAATTGTTTTCTCTTGAAAAAAGAAGAGTTAGGGAGGATCTGATTGAAATTTTAAGATTTTAAAGGAAATTGATAGTGTTAATGTATCATCTTTTTCATATTTAACAATGAGAATAGTAGGACTAGAGGACACAATTATATATCTTGGCATGGTAGGTGTTATCTTCAGCCAAGACAATTGTATTTTTCTAACAGAGTGGTTGGCCTTCAGATGTTGCTGAGGAAGTAAATTTAAGAGAGTTTAAGAGAAAGCTTGATAAGTATATGAATGATAAGGGCTGGCTTTAAGGTTTTTTTTTATCTTTTTTTTTTTATTTAATAGTTTTGGTTTAGGTTAGAGGATGGGACAGCCTAGATGTACCAATAGGTACCTTGTTGTTCCTAACATTATGTACATTAAACTAACTGTAAACACCAAATCATTATAGAAACCACCGTGCAACTACAAGTTCATAGCTCTCAATAATTTACCAAAACGGCTTTATCTTGAATAAACTCTAATTTACAGAAGACACTCTTCCTACCTTTAAACAAAAATTGATCAATTTTAGATTCTTTTCTCCTGAATAAATAAGTGAAAAGTAAAATACATTAAGTACTTCAGCTACATTTCTTCCACAGTTCCTACAAGGTTCTCTTTGGATTCTCTTAAAGAGTTAATATCATTCTTGTATCTGTTTTTGCAGTTTACACAAGCTTTAAAAACCTTTCAAACTAAACTTGATGTTTGACCCTAAGACTATCATAGTTCCCTTTAAATTATACTATAACTATCTTCAATAAACATCAATTCATCATCCATCAGTTTAATAATAATTACATTGTTATAGAAATGAATAAAAACCCTATAACCCAATCGCTTTCAAAAGGTGGACCTTTTTTCTTCAAGACTTCTTATACCTACGTGTGTTTCTAACATCATGAATGTACATTCTTATACATATACTTTTCACCCAAACATCCATTAATAAACGTAATGTTTTTTAAGTTAGTAGGGTAAATGGTTATAATATTAATCACAGAAACTGCACAAGTGTGAATTGATATTTATATATATACATATTATACACACACAAGTTTCCATGACCATGACACAGCCAACATTTTCCCAGATTTGCATCTTCTTGCGAGGATTTCAATTAAAATCTTATCATAGATCTTGTTCAATTGAATATGGTCTACTCTTTGCATTCATTTGTAACAAAAAAGATTATGTAAATTGTAGTGTAGGCATTTACTATTAATATTACTATAGTATTAGTACTGTTATACTCTTATTAAAGTTAAAAAAATGTATATTTCACTCCTAATCCTACTCATTAGTCATTATACAGTTTGAAATTATATCCTCTGCAACAAACGTACAAATTACAATACTACTATAGTATTATTATTATTAATATTAGTACTTACTATTGTACAGTATCGGTATCATCATTATTATTAATATTAAAATAATGCATAAAATTTATTTTTAGTGTTACCTGGTTAGTACAGTTTGGACAGAGTTTTGTCACCATAATTAAGTTTCTGTTCGCTTGAGGCCTATTCTAAGCCTATAAGTATAACTTATAGAAGTTTGAATTCCAACAACCTGCACTCGTAGTTATATTAATATGTAAATATTATACTACTTTTAATTTAATTGGAACATTATAAACTTCAGGTTCTAACATTTATTTTTAAAGTAAACGAAACTGAATCTTCTAAAAATATCCCGAAGAAAAAATATATATATATACACGTAAATTTTATACTTATACGATAAAACCTTGCCAAAAATGATTTAACAATAACGCGAATCACAAACACAAAAAAACAAAACCAACCGCTAGGTTTTAGTTATATAATTTAAACGTGTACACCATTGATTTGTAAAGTCAGCTGATTCAACCAATCACGAGTTCCTACAAATTTGCTTTTGTTTATTAGATTTTGTAACAGTAACGCTCTCTGTTGGGCACTAATTGCAACATATTTTAGTGTAATAACTATATATATACATATATGGTAATAACGTATGGCGTTTACTTTAAGAGCCTGCATTGTTTTTACATTGTTCTAGTATGCAGTAAAAAAATTAAATATATATTTGATTTTTTTATTTGTTCTTCTTAAGCTCAGGATTACACAATGGGCTCTGCCTACAATGTGTATCGTTCTCTATCCCATTGCGTTATTATCTTTTAATGCCTACCATAGAGCCACCAGAGCGTTAGGTGGTTGAAAGTAACATTCCAAATATTGTAGATAAGGTTAAAACAATTTAAACTGATTGTTAATTTTGTTGAAAAGGAAAATATGCGTTGCAAAGGAAGAAAATGGAGTGCGTACATTTGTTTTTAATTTTTTTGCTAGGGTAATTAAAATTTCAGAATGTTCGGAAATATGTGTAATTTAAATATAACGTTATATTCTCTAGTTACTTGTTTTGTAATTATTAGAGGAAGATTCTCGATTATACATTATAGTGAACTTTCCAGATATTTCATCATCATCAATATAATTAGCAGCTCCCTCTAGCAGATATTTAAACTGAAATATAAAAATACAGCTTACAGCGGCGCCGATATAATAAACAGGTCAATATGCCCTGACTGCTGCGAAACATTCTCGCTTTATATTCATTACTAATTTCAAGGTGTCATTTCTTCTTTCTGATAATTAGTACTTTTGTACTATACAATCTTTGATTTCTTTACATCTAATTCAAACCCGAGACTTCTTGCACACAAGGCAATATTCATTCTATATCGTGAAACAAACCAACTGTTCTTTGAATATAATAAAATTGAAAATATGCAAGCGTAAAATAAATCTTCGGACTACACACGACACAAACGTTACACCTGAGTTAGTAAGAGTGACGTGTGTTTAAAATTTTATACTTGGGAAAAGAACTGCTACCATTCGTAATGCTACGTAATACGAGTATCTATTTAAAATACAATTTGCGGATGAAGAGACATCTATTGTTAAAAACTGTAATTATGGTACTTCGTACAAAATTGTTATTTAATAGTTGAATGTTTTTTTTTAAATATCGTAAATATAGGAATAACAACTAAATTAATGCTTGACAATCACCCTGTCGATACATCGCTACTCACACTGTGTACATATGTTCCCAATAAACTTTTTAGATCTGAAATATCTACTGATAACACACGTGGTTTACTCAGGTCGGGATTCTTAGACTCGAAATATATGGAAAACACACGTTATTAACTCATTCTGGGATTCATACATCTAAAACCAGTATGAAAACCATTGTGGTTTACCCATGCTGGAACTTATAAACCTGAAACATGTATTAAAAACACCTGTGGTTTATTCATGTTGTGGTTTATAGACCTGAAACCCATATTAAAAACACCTGTGGTTTATTCATGTTGTGGTTTATAGACCTGAAACCCATATTAAAAACAACTATGATTTACTTATGTTTGAAACTATAGAACTGAGGTCTGTATGGAAAATACATTCACACGGAAAGTTGAAGGTTGTTCGGAGTTATTTCGGTACACATAGAAACTTTAATTTTTTATTTGTTGCGATAAGTTGTATAACAGCATTTGTTCGTCATCACAAGATGTGTGACATATTTTAATACAGCTATTCTGATGTTTGTTACTAATATTTGATTGAAAGTGACGCTGACAGTACTTGACGATTCTTTGAATAAAATAGTCTCATTGATCATCGTCTTTCAAATTACACTGCATTTAATATAAACGTTTTGGATCTAGGTTTTTTCCAGTAAAAGTAAATCGTTATGAAAATATTCATTGGTTGCCCACGTGTTTTTGCTGTACATGAATTTTGTAACTGATTTAAAGGTTTTTTAATAATTAATCTTGATTTTATTGAACGGATTTAAAATAATTTTAAAATTTTGATTTTTTTTTTCAAAAGCAATTCTTTCTTTGTTTGAATGTCTCGTATTAGCAGAAACTGAAATTTGTGAAATCGGCATTGACCAACAATTGCAACTTTAAAAAACAAGTAGAGTTCTTATGAAAGATAACAGATGGCGGTAAAATAGCCAATTTATTAAAATAAAAGCATCGCGTAAGAGAAACGTATTAATTCGGACTTGGTTTAATGGCGATATATGGATCAATCAGGTGATTCAAAGTTCAAGCCACAATATGCTACTGAATACGCTCCGAACTTTCAACTGTGAGGGCGTTATAACTGTGACAATGAATACGGTTACTTGATTAATTCGCTGTCAAACAATATATATTTTACTCCTGTTTCGTTAATAAACAATATTCATCGTATACATATTTTCTTTGTTTTTTCGTTTTGTTAATCATACTTAATTGATATATTTTTACTGTTGATTTTATCTTTCTAGAATTATATTAACAAACCTCAATAATAATATGGCTTGCTATGTTTTTTGACCTTGTATTATTATTTTATTTTAGCTTACTAGGCTTCAGGCTTCTTGTTGTAAAGAAACATAGGGCACGTTCTTGTTTTTTGTTGTTGCTTGGCAACTTGTAATTCGAATTTTTCCGTTAGATCCCGTTGTTTACTAAACGTCTCGCACATGTAGAAGTTTTAGGTATTTGAGCCGAAAGCTTGTGCATTAAATAAACTAAATTAACGTGGTGATAGTCCAAATAAATTACTTAATACAAATATAAGTACTCACGTTAAAAGTCTGAAAAGTTACTAATATTCATCGTACTCGTGTTTCGCTTGTCAAACACTATTAATTGTACTAATAATTCCGTTTCGCTTTCTCCACTTTCGTACAAGCTCATTAGACATTTTGTTTGAGCTACAAATGAAGCCATCATAGCACACATAATTTTCTGTTTTAAGCACATTACTTCTATTGCACGGGTAATGAACACAACACGTGTGTTTATATAATACACATAGACATGCAATTACTATAAGCCATGCTAATTTATAAAATATTAAGTTTAAAGGTAGTACTTTGTTGTGTATGTAGACGAAGGTTGTGAACAGAAACACCTCGACGTCTTTACCATTGTGTTTCAACAGCTTAAGAAATCAGGCTTTAATGGATGTAATCAAAAACTCGTAAAGACCTAAGTCAATTCCAGCTGTCTTGTCACATTAGTTTGTTGCTGGCCATAATAGCAACGAAGACATGCACCATTAAACGATGAGGACAATCCACTAGCCATGAGAGGACAAGTAGGCTTAATGAAAAGTGACATTTTTTAGTATAGGAATTAGCCGACTGGGCAGTCAACAGGACATCTATAACTAACGGATGATAATACATGTGGTACTTCATTAAGAGTCTTGGTAATCTACGAAATACTGCAGTTGTGAACTTTCTTATTTTTGTTGGAGGTGAGGGGAGAGCAAGAATGAATGAAAACGATTCATAATACTAATGGGAATGTCGCTAAATAAAATAACAATGTTTTTATTATTTATGTATACTAACAACGTTTGTATTATTTATATAAACTAACAAAGTTTTTATTATTTATATAAACCAACAAAGTTTTTATTATTTTTATTGTTACGACAGCGGAACTCACGTGACTCTGGTAACACGTCATGCGTTTCTAGAAGGATCATGACTGTTCCTGGCAACTCTAGTCTTTTCTAGGCGCCCTCTATTTTAATATCTAAGCTCGGCAAATAAAGCGGAGATATAATTACGTAATTGATACAGATATAGAGACAGATAATTGAGTCAAGCAAGCGGTAGTGACCGTAAATAAAGTGCGTGAATTGTTGTGAATTATAGCGTATGTTTAAGTTAAAGTGACTGTGGAAATTAAGTGTATTACAAAGTTTGTAACGAGAAAGAATAAACTAGTTTTAATTAAGAAAGGACTTGTATCCCTGAAGTTTTTCAGAAAGAATGTTTACGGGAAGTTATCAAACAAGCAGATACGTAACAGTATAAACTGACAACGTTTTTATTATTTATATAAACTAATAATGTTTTTATTATTTATATTCGGTAATCAAGATCGAGGGAAATTAATTCATAGTGCTAACCCTAATGTCAGATGACAGCAAACTAAACAAAGAAGACAGTTATTGTATTTAAACTACGTGATGAAACTAAACAAAGAGGCAAGTTAATATAATCAGATGGCATGATGAAACTAAACAAAGAAGCAAGTTAATGTAGTTAAACTACGTGATGAAACTAAACAAAGAAGAAAGTTATTGGACATAAACTACGTGATGAAAACTAAACAAAGAAGCAAGTTAATGTAGTCAAATGACATGATGAAATTAAAAACAGAAGAAAGTTATTGAACATAAACTACATGATGAAACTAATCAAAGAAACAGGTTAATGTAGTCAAATGACATGATGAAACTAAACACAGAAGAAAGTTATTGGACATAAACTACGTGATGAAACTAAACAAAGAAGCAAGTTAATGTAGTCAGAATTCATGATGAAGAAAACAAACTGAAATATAATTATGATTTAATCTTCACAAAATCTGTTTTTATTTCTTCAACTGACAGCCTGGATATTAATAGATTACATATAATATTATCTACTGTATTTAAATGAAGAATTAATTTAGAATGAGCGACAACGTATTGATACATACATTAATTAACCGTATATTTCAGCTCAGACAACTTAGAAACTTTTAGTGCAAAATAAGCCAAAATTACCCACAAGGCGGACCAGATTTATCTGTCGACTGGGTTAAGCAAACAAGAAGATTCCGTACCTCCAAAACACCGAATGGACTTTACTCCCAAGGGTGACCTTCAATTAACAAAGTTGACTTGAGACGTTGGGAACTGAAGGAAAGGTGGTCCAAACT